TGTGAAAAAGCCTAGGGGACTCAATATATAGTATATACTGTAGTATATATATACATAAAAAAGGAATCTTTTACCTAGCTACCTAGGTACACCGTGTGATTTCTCAGCTAAGGGGTGTCAAGTGACACCCCCTGAATACACCAAAAGCCCCCCCCNATGAAATTATACAAAGATAGAAACTTTATCACAAGAAATACATAATATAGTTAGTTACGAATCAAGTACTCACCTAAAATTGGATTAAAAGAAGAACATAAATAGATCCAACCACAGATCACATAATAACAACAGCAACAACTACCTTTTTATCTCAAACTATACTAATTGGAGTCAACTACATAAATCTCCCACACCCATTTTGCTTTATTTTAACCCATTTATTTCCATCATGTACAGATCACATAACAAGATCAAATAATAAAATAATACATGCATGGAATTAAAAGAGAAAAAGATTAAGAACCCACCTAAAATTAAGGGACAGAAGATGAGAATCTTGAGGGAGCTGGAGAAAAAGGATATATTTTGAGTGATCTGCAAAAGAAAAGAAAGAAAAGGAAAACAAGAATGGATGATAGTATTATTATCTAATATGGCAGCTAATTAACAAACACAGAACAGAAGTAAGGGGATTTTCTCTCCTTTACTGTAGTGCCGGTTGGTGGATGGATCTTAATGTCAAAGTCTGTTAAGTTCTAATTTTTTCACTAACACTGACTTTTTTCAAATGTTATGGAGTAATAAATTTTTACTTTAAGTTATTGTATATTATAGTACTAGATTTTATATAATTTTTAAATATGTTAATTTATTTTAATGATAATAACGTCCAAAAATTAAATATAATAATCCTTGTGCTCTAAACATTTAAAGAGGCATATAAGTTTTAATCAGTTAATAATTTTCTTATCTGATTAATTTATACTACTGTAATATTTTTTTAATGTTTACTTGGGCTCACGTGTGCATGAATGAATAATACAAGTGGATGTATCAACATAAAAAATGTGGAGCATTTTCGTGTAGTCACTCTCAAAGCGTGATAAAAGACAACGAGGGACTTGATTAGTGACCAGAGATAATTTTATGTCATTACTCTAAAAAAAGAAATTCTTTCATTTTGCTTCTACAATGTGACGACAAAACCAAGTACTAACTAAAAAACACACTGAAAAGTCCAAAACAAAAATGGTGACAACAAAAAATCTAATCAACCAATCAATAAAAGCATCTTAGCTGCTTATGCTATCAATTACCTTGTGATATATCCCTACATTTAAAGGGCAGCACAATGCACTAAGCTCCTGCTATACGCGGGATTCAGAAAAGGACCAGACCACAAATTTAAAGGGCAGCACAATATACTAAGCTCCCGCTACACGCGGGATCCGAAAATGGACCGGACCACAAAGGTTTATTGTACACAGTCTTACCATGCATGTATATATCCATACATTTAAGCGTAAAAATTGCACGGGGCGCAAGCTCCCGCTACACGCGGGATCCGAAAATGGACCGGACCACAAAGGTTTATTGTACACAGTCTTACCATGCATGTATATATCCATACATTTAAGCGTAAAAATTGCACGGGGCGCAAGCTCCCGCTACACGCGGGATCCGAAAATGGACCGGACCACAAAGGTTTATTGTACACAGTCTTACCATGCATGTATATATCCATACATTTAAGCGTAAAAATTGCACGGGGCGCAAGCTCCCGCTACACGCGGGATCCGAAAATGGACCGGACCACAAAGGTTTATTGTACACAGTCTTACCATGCATGTATATATCCATACATTTAAGCGTAAAAATTGCACGGGGCGCCCTATTTGGTCGCCCTCATTTAACCTATACCCATTTTTTTAAACTTTAAATTTGTACCCACTTTTAAAATAACTTCAGCCTCTTTCTCCTCCTTCGTTTTCTTCTTCTTCTTCTTCTTCTTCTTCTTCTTCTTCTTCTTCTTCTTCTTCTTTCTTCTGCTGTTGTTGGTGCTGTTATGAATATACAGTAATATGCTTAAATGTTTTGTCTCCACAAAAACACAACAGCAAAACTAGGAGCATGCAAGGATAAGTTATGAACTAGACGAGATCTATAGAGTTTTAGCATTTGATGTATAAACTCAAAACCGTAGATGGTCCATGGAACAAAAGCAACTTTGTTGGGTACATTTAAAAGGTTATATATAGATTCACAGACTAATTCCGTTACTCTAGCACCTAAAATATAATAAAGAGCATCGGCAGATGAATCTTGCTTGATTATATTTTCAGAACCACTTTGAGCTGCAAAGTGCTAAATGAATTTTCTAACAGAAAGACTGTTACTTAGAAAACTGATCACTATGACTTATACGAACACTATTCAATCACATAGATATCTTAAAACTTTCATTTTTTATAAAAACTTCAGCACTAAATAAGCTGAAGTTTCTACAAATGAACTAAATAACTTCAACATCTCTGCTGAAGTTTTTGAAAAAGCTTATCCAGGACAAAAAAGCTCCAGCTTATTTATTGCTGAAGTTTTTATAAATGAACTAAATAATTTCAGCATCTTCTGCTGTAGTTTTTGAAAAAGCTTATCCATGACAAAAAAACTTCAACACTAAATGCTTAAGTTCAGCAAATAGAGAACAAAACTTCAGCACTAGAATGCTTAAGTTCAGCAAATAGAGAACAAAACTTCAGCACTAGAATGCTTAAGTTCAGCAATTACAAGCAAAAACAAGTTCCTCAAATAGAGAACAAAACTTCATCACTAGAATGCTTAAGTTCAGCAAATAGAGAACAAAACTTCAGCACTAGAATGCTTAAGTTCAGCACACTTGGTCTACTTCAGGCTCAGCTACTAGAATGTTGAAGTTTTGCATGATTGTCTTTGCTACTTCAGCCCCGTATGCTGAAGTACCGCAAAAAAGTGGGTACGTTTGCAATTTTTTTTGCAAAGCGGACACAAGTTAAAACGTGACTCAAAAAGCGAGTATAAATGCAAATGCTCCATTTAAGCAAAGGAGAAATGTTCGATGTGTCCATTGTCCATTGTCACATTTCTTACAGTAATTTGTGACAAAATGTAAAAGGACGAATATAAACATACACAAAAACATATATAAATAAAACCTTTTGCTAGTATACTAGTAATTATTTCAACCTAGACAATGTAGATGGAAAAATCCTAGCTGCATTTGAACAACTAAGCTAACCTCTCTTGAGAAACTATGTACAAAACCACTGAAAGTCTTAAATACCTCTCAAGAAACTTTTCTAGGAAAATCAATTTCGAAACTCATAAGAGCCGTAGAAATGCAAAATGTAAGACTCAGTATGTAGAGGTTTTATGAGTGGTAAAGAGTGAATAGATCTATTCTCTAAGGAAAACCATTGCAATTATGAAATATCGTTGGGCTGAGCATCACTCTTCATCTTCAGAATCAGAAGTGTCAACTTGCTGTCTTGGACCTTCAATTGCACTGCTCACATTCCTTCGCTCAGGGCGAATAAAATCTGAAGCAAACTGGTTTGCTGATAAGAAATAAAGAAGAATAATGAAACATTTAACTGAAAAGGAAAGGGGGGGGGGGTGAATTGGCACATAAATATGTAAATGAACACCATATACTTATTTTTGTCAAGACACTTAACCAAAAGGACATTATTAATGATAAAAAGTATGTAACGATTAAGTAACATGAGATACATGAAGGGGAACGACTGATATCTAACACCCGAAATAGCAGCAAGTCACAAGTGTATGATGGCTACCTGATACGAAGGTCTTCATCAGAAGTGCCCTCACGAACTGTATTTCAGCTTGATGCAAGCTAACAAACTTGGACTGCAAGGGCAGGAATAATGCAAGGTTAAATGACAATGCAAAATTAGCTGCTTGCGAGTTGCACCTTAAATAGATAATTAGCTTAAGCAAATTAAAGAGCCAGCCAGGTTGTGGATACTGGATACTGATATAAGATCCAAAAGCCAACTAATATATCGAACTGCTACAGACCAGGGTGTAGATGACTTAAGATCTATGTGAAGTAAAAATAACTAGAAAATGGAATCCAACCCTTCGATCAGAAGGCATCCGATGACATCACACCTCATCAACCAAACATGAATCAAGAGAGTTATGCCTTCTTCTAACGTATAACTCGGAGACACAAGATCCCTGCCCTTTGCTCCCCAACCCCCACGAAAAGAAGGGAAAGAAACCAACGAGAGCCAAAACAGTAAGAAAGTAAAAAAGCAAGAAAATAAAAATAAAAAAGGGAAATAGGAAGATCAAGTCTATAATTACCATTTGAGCATAAAAAAATCCAACTACTTGGTCCAGTCTGGCCTGATGCTTCAAGAGGAAAGGACGAAGATGATTCATATAAAGTTGCCTTGCCCCCTGTCAGTAGCAAACAGAAGTTCAAACCATTTAGATACTCACAATGTTCGCCAATTAAATTGTTCTACCAGATCTGGCATTCATGGATGAAATGCTGAAATGCATCCATAATTTGTGTAACATCAACATTGACGGGCGAAATCAGAAAGGTAAAACAAGAGAAGAGGCACTAAGTTCTGAATAAAGGTTTAAAGGGAGGAGACTAAGATTTAACAGTAGTTGTAAGACAAGTGACCACAAGAGTTTACTATAACAGAGTGAGAATGCACCAGCCTTCCAGATAGAGAGAGGGTAAGAGGAACTCCACTACATATACAGAAGATCAATGCAGTATAATTGTCTAAAGAACTTTGCACGTCAAATAAAGACATATTGAGAACACATCTGGTTGTTCAGGAGAAATATCCTGAACGATCCTATAATTATGCACGATCCCTTAAACAGGAGAACTTAAGAAAACAAAATTAGAGCCAGAGGGGGATGAATATAAAACAACACAAGCAATAAAAAGAGAACAATTTCTTTAGCTTACATCAGTAGTAGGGAGTTGAAGCCAAACAAGAAATGCAAACTTCATGTGGTAATACAATGGAAACCTGACAAAATTGGAACGAGAAAAACATAAGCAGACTAAATTAGCAGAAGCATTAAAATGGTTTAAAAGTACAATGAGTGGAACAAGAGCTATACCAGTAGAGAATCTTATCAGTCAATAACTCAACAATACTGAAAGACCCATAAGCTGCAAGAAACAGAAACTTCTTTCAGTTCTAAGAAGAAAGAATGTCCAAGAAAATGCAACAAAATTATCCCGTAACCCTAGGGTACATGAAGAGCAACTATCAAAGAGAGACTGAACATTATAATACAAACATACAGTCTGAGCAGGAATGCTATGCTGATCCACATAAAAGAAATTCAAACATCTCTTGCTCCTCAGTGTCATTGCAATATTAATCATTTTTTATGTGGTTTACAGGTAAAATTCAATAGCTTCTTTAAAATAGTAATAGTAATTACTCACGACTTGCAACACAAATCTTTTTTCTATAAGAAAGATACGTGCAACACAAAATCAATTCTAATGTTCTACAGGCAACTATATTAAGATGCTTAAATATGCCTTCTCTCGGGGTCTCTCCAGAAAAACATATTTTATGTTGAATTGATGCTACCGTTTTTTCAGCCTGCATCTAAATTCAACAACTTCTGTACTAGAAGTATTATATCAATTAACGAGGGGATATATGTAATGGTTTTGCCTAGAAAGTGGAAATACTGCTTGCCACAAAATTAAATAGCGTATTAAGAGATTTAAAATCAACGGAGAAAAGCATTAAGAAAATTAAGCAGTACAAACCTGCCCAATACAGAAGCCACTTTTTCTGCTCATTTTCATCTCTTCCCTCAATTGCCTTAAATGTGGAATAAACAGGTAAAACAACCCCCACAGAACAGCTGTAGATGTCACATAATAAAATGCATCATCAATAACAGAAGCAATCTTCTCTAATCTTCCCAAATAAGAATCAATTTTTTACCAGAAACACAAATTTTCATAATCATAAGCAATAATTCTAGTGAATAAAATTAAATAGCAGCTCACCATGCTGTCCGCACAACTATATTAGAACCCAGTGGAGAAAGAAGCAGTCTCAATCCAACCTGCATTGAATGGAATTTGCATTCATATAATTGATATATTCTAAGAAACGGGAGAAAACACCAAAAACAATTCAATTTCTTTTGCTGAAGTAAGAGCAGCAATAAGAATAGGGTATAAGTGAGAAGTCGCAGCAATTTATAAACTAAGTAAAACTATGAAGGCACATATATCCTTGTCACAAAGCCAATGTACAACAAGAATAGAGTGTAGATTCCACTCAAATAATCCATCCTTGACTTAGAGAACTAATTTACAATGCAATCAACTAAGTGCAAAGAGATGCCAAAGATCAAAATGCAAATATGTGCCTACAGTTTAGACAGGAATTGATGTTACAATGATTTCAGAAAACATACGTCGATACAAAGTCCTTGGATGTGTTAATGTTTAAAAAGAAGTATAATGCTCCCTTAACCATCTCATTACAAAAAAAAAAAACCTAAATGAACAAGAACAGAATAAAACCCTTCCCTAGCTCATGGTGACCTATCGATCATTCTAACCCCCTATTCAGTGTTAGGTAATCCACCTCTGATGAGACACTTGAGACAAAGCATTAGTTCTTTATGATTTAACCAAACTGTATTTTCAGATCTAAAATCGAGGAGAATATAAAACAACTATGCAAGCTTTTTCTCTGCTCCTTTTTTGTTTGGAAAATTATCGACACCATCTTATTTAATAAGGAATCATCTACGCAATGTGTGTTTCACAAAATAAATCTAGCTCCAAGCTTAGATAAAGGATAAGTGTTGTTGTAGGCTAATGATCAACATAATAAAATAGTCTAACTATGAAGTATCCTATGAATACTAAATTGGACTTGAATAGTGCCAAATGAATACCTCATATAGCTGTGCACTGAAGCATAGTTGGTTGATAGACTGATTGATTAAAGGAATTGTCTGCACTAGTTATTATACAGCAGCATATATAATTGAAAGCTGATCATCTTCCTACACTGTCTAGTTGAATAGCATCAATCGTTTCTTCATCCCAGATTTGAGAAATATTTATTGCTAAGGCTGCTTTTGGTCATCCGAAAATCATGACGCGCCTCCATCGTCACAACCACCATAAGTGATTCCAATTTCAAACCACCAAGCATCAACCAACTGTCGGTCACTACCGCACGAACCACTGAATCCCCTTAGTGAAAATCCTAGCTCCGCCATCCGAAGTACTCTTGAGTCTTAAAAAATCCTTTCTTTTCACCACTATTTACTACTATACCGACACTGGAGCATCCACAATCAACACTTGTAAGAATCGTCTATATCTATTCCGTCCTAATTGGGCTCTCATGTGACAAATTCATTCATCATATACATAGTTAGACTATTTTTCCCTACAGCTCTCCTAAATTTTGCCACAATATAATAAAAATCAAAGGAAAATCGAAGATTGCAAATCAATAAAAATATCCATGTCAAGAAATAAAAGAAAAAATCAGAAACTCAAGCGCAAAAATAAATAAATATTGCATAAGAAGCGTATCAAAAGTGTAAACAAACCTCGGGATCCATCTAGTTAAATCGATCAATTCTCGAGCAGTCGCTAGTTGTCCAGTAACGAATTGGCGCAACGTAACTTCTTGTGGAAGAAATAAGAAGTGTTTAACGGAGGTTTTTGCGTTCGGCGTTCGACTCACCGGAAGATATCAGTTTTCAACTTATCTTATATCCTATTAAATTAAATTAAAATTGAGAATTTCGCAGTGAAAAGTTTAAGAGTTAATTCCCCAAATGGTCATTCAACCATGAACTTACCTAATAAAATCATTTTTCTTTGTGTTAGGACTATTCACTTGTTTCTCCAAAAGTCATAACCATCATAAAAGCCACCTTTTATAAGAAAAGATAATTTTATTCATATTAATAAATACATAATGTTAAAATTGGCATAAAATTATTAGATAATTTGTTTGAGTTATATAAACTTATAAATAAAAATTAGTCTTACGATACGCGCGTTGCACGTGTACTCCATCTCAATGAGTATAAAAAATTTAAAACTTACATAAAAATATATTATAAAGTAAAACATTAAAGAACTCCGAATTTTTTAAAATAGTGATTGTTGATCGTTGATTATATTTAGCTAACTTAATATAATAAAGAAAAAAACTCTGTGATAGAACTTCTCAATCTTCACAATACAAAATGAAAAGGACAAGAATATGAGAACATAAATTTTTCTACCATCAATGATGCCTTTAACCAAACACCCTAAAGTTGAATGCTGGCTATTCCTAAATATATTTGTTACATGAAGGTGTAAGACGCAAAAAAAAGTAGATCACATTTTCTCTACACAAAAATGTGGAGAAAGAACAAAGACAGAAGAGGACACATTTGGCTTATTTTATTCTCCATTAAAATAAACATACAGACCCATCTTTTAAAGGTAAAAAAACAAAAGATATTTCGCTAAGGGTCACCTATTCAAGGAATGTAAAATTTAAAAAATTTATAAATATTACTCTCTCCTCAATTTAGATGATATAGTTTGACTTGACACAAAGTTTAAAGAAGAAACAAATAAGAAGACTTTTGAAACATATGGTTCTAAAAGTTTAAGGGGAAAAAACTTTGTGGAGCCATGATATTTGTGTGGCTATAAAAGTTTCTCAATAAGAGTAAAGTAGGTAAAATAAAAAGTTTAAAATTGAATTGTTTCTAAATATAGAAATGTGTCATTCTTTTTGGAATAGATTAATAAGAAAAATGTGTCATTTGAATTGAAACGAAGTGAGTATTAAATAATTTATTTGAGTTATATGATAAAAATTTAATAATTTTTTAAAATTGTCAAATATTAATTATAAATAAACAGCAAAGTAGAGAATGATGTTGCTAAGCATGAAAACAATCTAGATAATTTTGAAAGCTCAGAACGTAGTACAAAATGAAGTTGAGTATTCTAAACAGGTCAACTATATAAAAAAAAAATAGTGACAAACCAAATTTGTAGCTAAATAATACAAATAAGCCGCTAATTACATATTATCAAAAAAATTCTATTTGTTTTGAGATGAGTTTATTTTTAACACAATGAATTAACAACGAGATTCTTTCTACAATAAATAGAACTTCGATTGTATAGGGTTAAGTTCTTGGAAACGTAAAGTGAAAATTCACAATTAACTTCAAAATTTTAAATATTAGTCTATCTAAGATTTGTGAAAACTTTAGTGTTTAAATATAACGTCACCTTTTGTGATGCTTGAAAGAGTACATTTTGTATAGGGAAAGAAAAAGAAGTAGTCCTAAATATTAGGTCTTCTACATTCTAAGAAAAAAATTTAGGTATCGTGAAAATAAATAAATAAGACTTAAAATAATTCTAAGTAATAGCTAAAACGCAATTTAGCAATCCAATAACTTTGCTACAACCGTCCAAATTAATAAGTGAAATTTCCAAATAATCCCAAGTAATAATTAGCCCGATGTCTTTTTAGAGTCTTAAATTGTATTCAAATAAAGAAAGAATATAAGCAAAATCTTAAGTCCTAAATACAGGAAATAATTAATGCCCAAAATTTTAGGAAAATAACTTAAATTATAATTTTGTCCAATGTAAAATTTATTTTTAAAGGGTAAAAAAGACGAACGACATTTCGTTAAGGGCCTTCGTGCTTTTAATATAGTATAGATAAAGTATAAATCTAAAAAATGATAATATTGTATTTGTTTAACTAATTCAATAAATGAAGAAATGTACCTATGAAATTAAAAATTAATTATTTTTGTGACTTAATATCGCAAATAAAACGTAAAATACTTTTATAATATTTTTTTAAAAAGTTTTATCAAATAAAATAAACTAAAAATTGATTCTTTTGGTCGTTGAAAATATTATCATACAAAGTTGATTGTGACAATATAAAGTTTAAAGAATAACTAATGATGAATTAATATTTTACATATAAAGAACTTAATATAAATTTATAGTGCGTTTATAATGCATTTTGTCTTCTACTATTTTGCAATTCATGTGTCAATTTTGCATCTTTCTGTTTTCAAAGTCAATCTGTATTTTACCTCTATAAGATTTTGCTAACTCATTAAAATATTCAAAAGAGATTACTAAAAACTAAACCAAAGAGCAGAATAATTACTTATATAATAATATTGAAGGAGTCCAGCAAGACAACAACTAATATACAATGGACATAATTTTTTGGATTTGATTTGATGAAATAAAACCAAAATTCCATTAAAATCCTAAATATTAATTTTTTTATATTCAATTGTTTGGTTTTGATTTGATTTGACGGAATTTATATGTGCTTTACTTTTGAATTTATAGTCCTATTATAATTTTATATAACCTTAAAAAGTTATTTAATAATTTAATACAATTATTAACATTATATATTTATTGACATGGGGTAAAATTGTCTTTTCTTAAGAAAAGTGGCTTTTAATCTTTTATAGTGGTGTATGACATTTGGAGAAACAAGTGAATAGTTTAGTGATTTTTTTGTCCTAAAACAAAGAAAAGTGATTTTACTAAATAAATTCATCAAGTTGACTAATCATTTGGGGAATTAACTCAAATTCTAAAAGCAGATTTAAACGAAAATAGTAAATCTTCTCTCCAAAAGTAAATAATATGAAAAACTATTTTGGTAAAAATATTTTCAAAAGAAGCAATTTATAAAAAAATTGGTCAAACATTTCTTAAAGAATTAAAATTAGGGAATTTCTAGCTAAATATGTAAAATTAGAAGCTTAATCACCACAGTGAAAGACATTTGAACTTAATTACCTAATATAACAAGATTTTAAAACATAGCAACTCCTTAATTTTAAGCTTCAAATATTTCCCTATTTTCTCTTTCTTTCTCCACGCCTCTCCCCAACTATACTAATGTATATAGTAAGGAATTTTAACATTCCTATACACTATATGAAACTATATTACTCTCCTTACTCAAATTTTATTATAATTATATTTTATATATTCAATTACCATTTATGTACATTTTAAGGGAATTAATGATAATAATTAGTGTCCTAAAATTACTCTAACGTATCTTCCACTCCCCCACGTTTCTATCTCCACATCCTACCCCCTCCCCTACGTATCTTGCATCCACCCACGATTCCACCATTGACAACCATTAAAAAACTTTTAAGCTTTGAATTCGAATTTGGGTTTTCAGAAAACATTATTTGTTTGAATTGAATGTTGTTGCAAAGAATTGAGAATTCTCTCTACGTGTCTCTATCTCTCAATCCCAAATTTCACTAATGTAACGCAAAGGAAAATAGAGCAGCAATTCCACCATTGACAACCATTAAAAAGCTTTGAAGCTTTGAATTCGAATTTGGGTTTTCAAAAATCATTATTTTTTTGGATAAGGTGTTGTTGCTAACAATTGGTAATATGGTTTGGAGTTTATATCTCAATTTTGAGGGGTTTTGGTAAATATTAGACTTGATTTTGGCTGAATTTCAGATTGAAACTCGAAGAAGAAGAAGAAGAAGAAGAAGAAGAAGAAGAAGAAGAAGAAGAAGAAGAAGACATAATATATAATATATTTACGAAATTGTAGTAAAGTTGTAGAAAAATTATAAAAAAATTGTTTATATATTTTTCTTTTATTTATTTAACTATTGTATGAAAGTTGAACAACATTGTATAAAAATTATATTTAAGTTGTATATTGCAATTGTGTATAATTGAGTAGAAATAATGTATGAAAATTGTAGATAAGTTATATAATATATAATTAGTTGTATGAAATATATTTTTACTATGTATAAATTAGATACAAAATATACAAAAGATATATTGTATAAAATTTGTATAGAATTTGTGTTTACGTTGTATATTATTGTAGTTGTATTTAACTAGGTAGAAATAATATGTGAAAGTTGTAGATAAATTGTATAATATATAATTAGTTGTATGAAATTTGCTTTTACTATGTATAAATCATATATAAAATATACAAAAGACATATTGTATAAAATTTGTATTTAAATTGTATGTTATTGTAATTATATTTAACTGAATAATGTACTAAAAATTGGACATGGTCATGTTCTCAACTAAGTCAATTCATAAATCACGTGTGGTTCGGAGAGGGGATGAAAGAGGGGTTGTCTTGGCAGAATTCCTTAATTTAGTTATTGCGCTTAACAACATTAAATGAATATAAATAACAAAAGGAAAATGAAAATAAGGGTCTCTCATGCCACTTGATACAAAGAATGAGCGTTAGTCGCAGAAGTGGACTAATGCATATTATTTGGGAGAAATTCTAAAATAGCCAGATTTATAATTGTGCGTTTAAAAATAGCTCAGTTTTAAAAGTAATTAAAATTTAATCACTTTTTATGTAAAGATAAATTTGAGCGAAAACACTGTTCAAAACCCGAAAAATACGTCAATATATTATACTGGAGTTCCAGCATAAGTATGCTTGAACTCCAACATATTATGCTGGAGTTCCAGGATAGGATAAGTATGCTGGAACTCCAGCATAATATGATGGACTTCTAGCATAAATACACTAGAACTCCAGCATAATATATTGGAGTTCCAGCAAGTATAATTGTCCAGTATAATATACTGGAGTTCATACACAGGTGCACCGAACTCCAGTATATCAGCAAAGTATACCGGTCTAGCATAATATGCTGGAGTTCATACACAAGTGCACCAAACTCCAGTATATTATATTGGATCGGTCTCTGTTACAGCAAAATAGTGACTATTTTTCATTGACTTCGTAA